AGGATCTGGTCAGACAGACAGCAGTATTGTATACAGTATTATTCTGATACCTTCAATTCTCTGGCCATATAGTCACAGGACGCAACAAAGATAAATATGTGTAATAACATGCGGGCCCCATAATGCAGCCGGAGGGGGGTGTTGAATACCAGAGATTCCAATTCTGAGTGGGGTTATCCTACTTAGAGTGGTTCCTAGGTATTGGATCACGGTATTCCTAACACCACCTAACACTTTCTCCACATCTCTCTAGTCCAATCCCTATAAGTTAAAGCCTACTCTAATCTCTTTCCTGAAATTTCCTCATTCAAATGCTCTCTGTTCTTTGCAATCTATTTATATAAATGCTTTTCTGCAAAACTCCTCCTCACAGTATGCCCGATCACTTAAGGTGCAACATTTTCAGCAATTTCTTCATAAGTTATTGTTCTCTCATGAAGAGCTGCCTCCAATCTTACATCATCCTACTCTTTAGTAGACTCCATTAGTCTACCTGAAGTCTTTTCCCCTCTCCAGTAGGTTATATTTTATGCACAGTATTAAAAACAGTTGATAAATAGATTTTAAGTTCTTTGGAAATTTTGCGAAAAGGGACACCAGTATCTCACTGGCCAATGATTTGGCCTTTTTGAAATGTGTTATAATATTGGGTAGCAATTGGCTTGTGCTTATGGCTTCTGCAAGGATTTATTATTGACAATATTTTATTATAGTAAAAGTACAGTGGGATTTGAAAGTATAGGAGAGGGGTTGCAATCTTGCACAATCAAGCATTACTATACTAAATGTTCGAGTACTTTTGCTAATGCGCGATAGCAATCAGTAAAAATCAATCTTGAAATAACTCTATTTTTATCTTTCTCTGTTATAGTAAAAATACTCCTCTATGAAAAAAAAAAAATTAAGAAATAAAGAAATTAAGATAAAATTTGATTTTATATGCAGGCTGTATATTTATAAATTTAAATCTGTAAATATATGTTATTTATATTGACTTCCTACTATATTGATTCTTGGAATCTAAAGGTCAACCATGTTTTTTGGAGTTTTGGTAATTCTTCTCTAATTGATTAATCCTCTGGTAGTCCATCCATCATCTGATTCATTTGACTCCCTTCTCTTGAACCTGCAGCAAGAATATTTCTATTAGTTGTGGAAGAACTGATATCTTGACAGAGGCGTTTATTGCTTTTGCTTGGAGTGTCTGAACAGTTGCTGTACTTGAGCCAGCTGCCCTGAAAATGCTGATGGTATATTACACCTATCTTTAATTCTTCCAATTTTGGCTTCTTTTGCATTCTGAACAAGCATGGCATTGCCCGCGCTGGGCTGCCATTTGGGAATTAGGTTTGTCGGTGTCGGGATCGTGATATCACTCAAAGTGGTTGTCGTCCTTTGCGTTTCCCTGAAGATGGAACAGCCCTCCCCCCCATGATCTCCTTTGTCTTCCCCAGACCCCATCGTCTCACCTATCTATGCTACTCTTGGTTCCCCGCTTATACCCACCTCGATTAGCACACCGTCCCATCTTTTTGTCATCTCATATCTTGTAGCCTTCAACGTCCGCCTATTTTGTCACAAGCTCCTACCTTAGCTTTTCTTCTTTTTTCTTTCTTCTTGCTTTATCCGGTACTCTGCCTCTATCTTCCCACAAATTTCCATGCTCGCCCCCTGTTTCCCCGATCCTCTTTTGATTCCCCATATATGCCCAGTTATAGGTGTCCAATGCACGACCGAGCCTCTCCTTTTGCAAATTTCATATATTATTGCTTTCGATCGTTAAGAAACAATAACCGTTCCAAGTTCTATCCCATTCGCACCTAATCACGTAGTTTATTGTGTTTGCCAAAACAAAAAACCCAAGATTTCATTCCGGGCACTCCATCCATCGCAGCTACCATTCGTGAAACAAAACTACTGCATGATATAGGATCGCGTAAATGCAATTACGAGGAAAACGTACCTAGTATTGGACGAGAGATACCATTCATCCGACATACAAGGGATACCGCGACAACCGGTGATACTCGCCTACGGCGAGCACATTGAAATAAAGTATGGGTGGAGACCGAAGCGAAACAACCAAAATACCCGCAACGCTGCGCCAATAAAGGGTTAAGTGAAACCGATGTGTCGCAAACCCAAAACAGGTTACCTGGAAAACTCTTATTGCAAGTTCCGGAAGAAGGCGAACCTCGCAAGTTCCAGTACGCGAGCAGTGTAACGCGGGAGGTCGCGTCAGCCCGGATAAGGCAGCGGGACACCCCCGCGGCTATTGTAGTGGCGCATATTCTATGATATGCCAATCATTGGTGAGTTGGAATTGTGCCCCTCCAAGCACGCCACGCTAAACTGCAGCCGATAGTGGTGTGATATGTATCATAAATCCTTCTTCCCTCCACGACATAACCCTGCCCACCCATCCAGTGCGTGAGTGGACCACTTCCATTGTGTCCCATAAAGTGCCCCGTATGACTTCCAATCTCTAGATCACCGATAAAGAATACTTCCTCGGGAAAAACCCCTCCCCCCCATCGTCCGGGCTATATCATTTTCTCACCTTCAGTTGCACCAGGAATACCGTGATCTCACTCAATTTATCCCATCGCCCCGTTTCATATAGACTTACACTACGAATCACTCGCTTTCGTACAACTCTTACTCCCTCTTTTGCCGGTCACCTGCTCTTGGAAATATCCTCACACCGGCATACCGAACAAGTCCGGGATGAGATGGTGTCATACTTTAATTCAAAGTCCCTTGCAAAAATAACAAAAAACCTTGACCGGAGAGGGAACTGAAACTTCGGCCCCGGTAAACGATACCCTTTGTCAGGGTTGGAATGCACTGTGAGGTGAGTAAGGTGAGTTGATATGATATCATAAAACACTTGTCACGTTAGGGCTAGGCGATGGATATGATATCATTCCTTATGATACGATATTATAGAAATTCACTTCTACACATGGGTATGGGGGGCTAGCATAGTGGGTATCTGATCCAGATTCTAACTTATCCTATAGCCAACCAGCCAACTGCAACACCCAGCGCAAGACAACAGCCTTCTATGGTACAGATCCATCAAGCAACCCTAAAAGAAAAAAAGGCCAAATTCCACCCCACGGCAAAGCATTGCGCCACCTCCCGTCAGACCCCCTCGAGCAGCTTTCTCCAAAGTCAGGGGACAACGAAGGAAGCTCGACAGTAATTTCCCCGGAACCAATTTAGTCACCCACATCACACCAAACGTGCCGCGCTACAGGACCGGAAACACACACAACACCCAGACGAGTGCATGATAAAAACCAGAAATTCCTGCACCTCACGCTGAGGTTGTTGGAACTCCCCGGCAAGATAAAGCCCGTAACCGCGCCGGAGTGGGGGGGGGGTGAAATTTAAATATTCGGTTCAGGCAAAAGGTTACGATAAATGTAGGAACCCTCCGTACAGCGGTCTGGACTCAGCGTGTCCGGCCGGGCGTTCGCCTACTGCGTGTGCCTGAGTATTTTTGTACGGGCTATGCAAGGTCCAATGCTCGTACTCTTGCCAATCCGAGGGAGTAGTTCCCCCTCATTCATTCCACCAACCTCCCTTCGATCGACAAGCAAACCACGGATTCCCGGCACCCAGATACCCACGAAACCACTTTCCCGGCGGGGAAGAAAAAACAGTGCTCTAGGGTACTGATACGCCCGCCGACGAGGACAGCAGTCCATCCACTGTGGAAAAAAAAGACCTACCAGAGCGGAGGAAATTGTATATTTCGGCAGATTCAGAGATTTGAATATTTTGGGTAGTCAGCATGGGCAGAAGGCGTTCAAGTTCGCATTACATTTTTTTCACCATGATACATGATCAGGTCTTTCTTAATCGGATCTATATCCTCTAATGTCGGGCCTGCGTGGGTGAAAGTTTCCATCCCTGGCAAGAGGGGAGAAAGTTCATCTCCCACTCGAAGAAAAGAATTTCCCAGTAAGGGGCAAGGAGTTTCGAACGAATGAATGAAACTAACTCGCAGATATCCTGATCTCCAGGTCCGTGAAAATGAAACAGTACATCAACCTATCCCACGCCGGACAGCACACCACAGTAATCCCAAACAACCCACCAATATAGAAAAAGCACAGTACCCACCCAATCACCAAGTATCATCCAGTACCCAGAAGCTCCGGATGTGCATCAACGAACCTTTGGCAATCACAACACGTCACTCACATTTCCCCAGCAGGCAACTAAGGTGACAAATAGGATTTTTCATGTAATGTTATATAGATTTTCCGCACACGGAAGAGAGAGCGTTACTGACTCTTCCAAGGACTTAATCCTCCCATCGCTAACACCAGAGTAGACCATAATTACATACTGCAAAGAACACAACCTGACCGATACCCGTGGAACCCCAAGCTTCATTCCATCCAAAACACCGGCACAAGCTTATGTGTGTAGGGACGACCCTCAGAATCCCCTACATACCGCGATAGCAATTCCGGATATGATGCAGGCATCAGGCACTCCGCCCTCCGCCCCTCCGGGAAAAACCGCACGGCACGAACAGGGTAGGGGAAAATATGGCGAATGTGGCTATCATAACAGAATATCACTGTGCTTTGGCAGCCAAGTCTTCGCCATACTCTTTCCTACCCCCCTCGTACACAGCACGTCCGGCGCAACCTACCCGCTACCACCACCAAAACAGCTATGATACCTACCACCGGCAGACAAGCACGCCTTTTGGCGCAGGAAAATTGCGCTACCCACAAACGTAGAGAATCGCGCAAGTGGTGGGTAATCATCGCATCTACGCACAAGTGCGGGAACTATCGTGGCAAGGAAGAGTAGTGAATTAGACTAGACCCCCCGTTACCTTCCCAGCAACCTTTTTTCCAAAAAAAGAAAAGAAAAGGAAAGAAAGAAAGAAAACATCCACCCATCAAATCCGATATGAACATTGCATAGGGAGAAAAGAGGAAGAAGAAAGATGGAAATTTTGATCTGATCGTGGTGTAGAAGTAGTGCAGTAGACTAACAGGGTTATAATGTGATGTTGTAGTATCATAGCAAACCGTAAATAATAGAGCGAATAACCGACCGCGACCGCGATAACCAACTAACCAGCCATAATAAACATAAAAGAAAACAAGAGCAAGAAGCGAGCGGTAGAGGAATATTTAAAAGTTACAATTATTTCTTTTACATCGCTTCTATTCCCAAAAACTACTACTTACTACACTTGCCGCCCCACCCGCCTAACAACGGTGTGGTTTCTCCATTATCCGCTTCACCCCCCTTCTTCGCCCCCCTCTTCTTCTTCTCCCGCCCATTTTTTTCTTTCCCATTACTCTCGCTGCCGCTGCCACCCCCATCGCTACCGCTACTGGTAGTTTCAATTATAGTCTTCGGCACGCCACTAACGTGCTCTACGCGCTCGACAAGACTCCCGCTTCTAGCGATACGCTTATTGAGTTTCTTGATGCGGGAAGCGTTCTCCGTGCAGGGGGGCCCCTCGTACTCATCCCCGGGGTTTGGCTTTTTCAGGAGGAGCGCTGGGTCGGAGGTTGTGGCCCCAGGGTTAGTGGATAATAAGGCGCCGTTGCCGTCGGCCCGAGAGTTCCCGTCGCAGGGGGGCTCGTGCGCTCGAATCACGTGAACGATGCCCCCGCTAGTTGATAGGGGCGCGCGGGCGTGCTCATCGTGGTTTCCGGCGGGTTTGATCTTGACGGCTTTGTATTTCGTAGACTTGGGGTTTCCGGCCAGGTTTGCGGGCCCGAGGAATTTTAGCTGTGGGAGGACGTTTTCCGGGATACCGGTGAGGGAAGTTTGTTGGCTTGAGCGACGGACGGTGGCTGGTGGGTGAGGGTGGCTAGGATCGTTATCGTTGTGTGGTGTCGAGTTTGTGCTTCGCGGATCACCGTCGAGGATTAGGAGATTCTCGAGCTGTTTGTCGATATGGCCGGTGGGATGGGTTATTGATTCAGGAACGGCGAACGAGGCGGCAATGTTGGCCGTGGAGGAGACGGCTACTTCGCCCAGACAAGGGAAATGGGTAGATATTGAGCGGCGGGACAGTGGGGAAGGGTTGATGCGACGGATAGCTTTGTGAACGTCGATAAATACGTCTGACTCGTCAATAATTTCTCTATCTCAAATTAGCCGCACACCAAATCAATTTATTCGCAGGGTAGCCCACTCTCCAATCAATTCCTCAATAACATCCTCCAAGGTGACAACCCCGAGTGCGCCGTGATTCTCGCCGGGAGAGTCGCTGACGAGAACCATGTGACTCTTGCCCTCCTGAAAGAAATTGACGATATCCAAACAGCTAGTCTCCTCTCTAGTCTCCGGCAACGTGGCTAGAGGGAATTCCCCCACCCGCTTCTCATCCTCTGGATCATAAGTGATCAAGATCTTGACCAACAGCATACCAACGAAATTGGCCGGTTCCCCGGGGGCGTGGATGGGAATTCTGGAATAGCCAGCCGAGAGTATCCCATTCATAGTCACTTCGTCAAGAACTGTATCCGAAGACATCGTAAAGACATCCTTGATGGGCGTCATGATGGAACCGACCGGTTTATCCTTCAAGTCCAGGACCGCTGAAATGATCGTAACCTCGTCCTGATTCAGCCTCTCCGAAGGCGACGGGCCAAGGTTCTTGTGCAGCGTAACTAGCGTCTTCAATCCCGCCTTCTTGTAAACCGTCCCATGATCCTTCCCAAGAATGTAATCCAGCAAAAGTGCAGTCGGGTACGCAACCGGGTACATGAGGTACATCAACCCGAGCACGAACGGCGACAAGTAAGCTCCAATACTCAACCCATACCTCACACACACGGACTGAGGAATGATCTCTCCAAAAATGACGATAAGAACGGTAGAGGACAAGACAGCAGGCCACCCTCCGCCAAGACTCCTATCCAGAACGATGGGTAAGGTCTCGTTGGTGATGACATTGCTCAGCAGGAGAGTGACAAGAACCCAATGCTTCCCGCGTTTCAGTAAGCTGAGGACCTTGTGTGCGTGATTCTTCTCCGCGCCTTCCCCGGATTGCTCAATCACTTGTAGGTAGATCTCGTCCTGGCCCATTAGACCCAGGGTCAGTCCAGCAAAGATACCGCCCAGGACGACGAGGAAGAAGGCTATGCCGACATTGACCCAGAACCCGCTCGATTCGGTATCGCCTTCCTCGCTCCGCTTGAATAGTGGGTGAGAGTGTAGACGCGGTAAGGATGTCGTAAGGAGCAGGGCGACTCGGGCTAGACCCGCTAAGGGTGATCTGGCTGGTGTCGCCATTGCTGGGCGAGTGCTGTTGTGACAAGGAAAGAGGAGAAAGAGGAAAAGAAAAGGGAAAGAGAAGAAAGCGGAACCTGGGCCTTGATGGTCAGGATCCTATGCCTGGGTTCCGAGTGTGGCTGCGGTGGCAAATTCTTATCTGCTGTGGCTTTGAATTGAATTCGCTAATCAGATTATTTCCGGTGTGGTAACATCAGCCCCTATCCTATGTTTCGGTTAGATAGGAAACCAGCTCACCCACCGCCACGGTCCCAGCATCGGTGGCCTTCTGCCAGTACTCGAGTACTCGTACTCGTATAGTACCGTACAGTAACCCAACCTAATGACCAAAGACATGGCTCTCCGCAAAAACGTGTTCCCACAATACACGGCGACCGCCGAACTACTCAATTGCAAAACCAACCGATGAGAAATTTATTCGGGTGATACAGCACCGAGAGTCTGCCGGACGGAAAGACACAGTGCAGTACCCCACTACAACTATTTTCACAAGCTTATAAACATTCAACCACCGTGCAGGCATACCCGGTCTTCTAGTAGGGTATTGCGAGAAAACCTCTCTCCCCCCCCTAACCACTGCAACCCACCACAACGCTATAGCAGTAGGATGAAAATAAAAATAAAAAAGAGTCTACTTTCTCGGCAACTCCTTAAACACTCTTTTCAAGATCGCCTTGCTCTAAAGTACCCCACCAAATTCAGCACAGCGACCTTCAGACGCATAGAAACCCTCCGGTAACAAGCGGAAAGAAAGAAACACACCTTATAAAGATTAACAAGCCTCAGCCGTTCATCATCCAAGTGCGCTTGATCGCTCGCTTGTCCACACGGAAGATGCGCCGCCGGAGCTCCAAACTCTTTTTCTAAAAACCTTGCAGTGGGGATACTCCCTCCCTCACGAATGTACAGCGGTCTAACCCGGTCCAAGTTACCCTCGGACCACACATCCATGACCGCCTCTTCCAATGTTCTGAAGGCGTCATTTTCGGGATCGCCTAGCCAGGGCTCTGCTTCGTGGTCTATTTTTATGTCGAGCTTGTTGTTGCTGTTGAAGGAGGAGTACTCGCTGCGCAGGTACGAGACCAGCTTGTCTTTTATCACAGATAGCTCCTGGTCTGGGACTATGCGGAGGGATATCGAAGCCGATGCTACGCGTGGGATGATGGCCGCGTTTGATGGACCTGAGACGGAGACATTGTGGATTGTTAGCGATGGGAAGCGCCATTTTGACATTAAATGGTCTTTTATCTGGACTGCAGTTAGATGGGACCAATCCGGTTTGTTGACAATGGTGTTGGTGATGGCGGTGTACATTTCTTCTTCGGCGGGGGTGATAGGGCGGACGGGCTCCGAGAATCCTGCAGTTGACACAATCAACAAATACCTCGGCATGCCCGCAGGATGAAATCTCACCAGGAATCAAAACCTTCCCGTCCGGGGAGGTCAATCTTGCCAACAGGTTTACCAGGTCGATCGTAGGCTCTCGGTTAAGTCTACTACCCTCAACACCCGAATGTAGATCCGGCTTATCGCTCCCTACTACCACGGTAGCATGGATTACTCCTCTAAGGCCATAGGTTAAGCATGGAACATCATCATCGAGCCAGTAGCTGTTGGCTATCAGAATCCAGTCCACATCACCGATAATTTCCTTATTTCTCCTAACGGCATCAGCAAATCCTCTGCTCCCAGATTCTTCCTCCCCTTCAATTAGGAACGTAATGTCGGCGCCTAGTTCTTGCTCCTGCACCAATTCGCCGGCGGCAAATAGCGCAGCGAGACAAGGACCTTTGTTATCTGATACTCCGCGACCGTATAGATATCCGTTCATCCCTGTTAGTTCAAACGGCCGCGTTTGCCATCCAGCCTCAGCAGACTCGGAAGCAGGTATCACGTCATAATGGCCGTAGAACAGTATCGTTTTCCCTTTGCTCCTGCCCTTCGTTCCGCAGCCGCCGAACCTCGCATGGACAATCGGGTTTCTGCCCTCCTCCGAGGGCAAGAGCGTGGCTGTAGCACCATACCGCTTGAATAGCTGCTTGAGATAGGTTGCTCCCCGACGGCAGTCTTCGGCATAGCTAGGATCGCTGGAAACTGTACGGAAGGAGACTAGTTTGCTCAGCGAGCAAAGGAGCTGGTCATTCTGAGATTTCAGAATCTGGGATTCCGATTGTTCAAGGGCGGAAGTGTCCCAGATTGCCACACAGTCGTCATTACCGCCGGTGATGTAAATCAGCCTCCCATGGCGCTTGGTCGCGGCAGAAGCCAATATCAATCCAGAGTGAGACTGCCAGCGACTCATATGTTCGAAGCGTTGGTTCCATTTCTGTCGACGCTGTTGTCAGCGCGTATCGTCTATAGGTGAGGTGGGATAATACCCTCGAATACCCACTAGCACTCCCGCTAAAGATGTAATTCCCCATAACAGACATGGTCAAGACATCGTCGCAATGGGTTTTGAGACTGCGAATCAATTGCAAAGTGTCCAAATCCCAAATGCATATTTCGCCATCGGTCAATCCGCAGTAAAGCATCGTGTCGTTGACCGCCATACTCAGTACTCCAGAATCACCCGCGCTCAAGTTCGCAGCGCTTGTGATCGCGCTCGTCACCGGATTAATGGTCCATAGTTTGACCACCCCGTCCCCACCCCCAGATAGCAGCATCTCCCCTCCGTCACCCTTGATTTCCCACCCGGATGGAAGGGTAATGAGAAGCATGCAGTAAACGTATCCGTAGTGAGCATACTGCACAATATTCTCTGGATCAACCTCCAACAGCCTCGAGCTGGGCGGCACAACCTTCGACGCCGGCCTGGGTGTAGTCCTCCCACCGGGACCTTTGGAATCGAAGAATCGGTGGTTACGGTGTGAAGGGTGCGAAGTCAAAGTAGGCCTGGGTCGCGAATCTTTCACTTTAAGGTCATACCACTAGGCCGCAATCAGCCAATTGCTGCTCACCCTGCCCCTGCCGGGCAACGAGGGTGCCAGTTACCTGAATACTAGTATTTTGGGCGCCAAAGTACGCAGTTTGCAGCGCTGAGGAATAGACGACGCAGAATACATCCCCGACGTCGAAAGTAGAGTAGATACTGTAAAGGTTCTCGAAGGTTTTCGCATTCCACACCTGGAAACACGGTCAGTGCTCCAATGTTGACCCGCGCCTCCGGTGTGAACACCCAACTCGGTCGGCCTACATTGATAATTGCATCTCCAGCACTGGAGAACAAAACCGACTGATCGTCTGAGAGGTGAAGACACAAAACGCTCCCCTGATGTGCATGTACACTCTTGACAAGTTGAAAAGTTTCAATGGACCACACCTATCATCCATTCAATGTTAGCTCATCACCACGCTCGACAACGCCAAGGGAAGGGGGAAAACAAAAAAACAGAAAAAACAGAAAAAAACAGAAAAAAGCCAACCAAAATCTCCCCGCTCTGACTGCCTGCATAAATCAACTCATCAGATACACAAAATGATAAAATGCTCCCATTATGCTTGACCCGATGCAACAGCGATGGGACTTCCACCTCAATAGCTCCCTCCTTCTCTTTCTTAGCGGAAGGATTAATTGGGAAGCCAGAGCTATCTGTTTGCAAGGATTCAGGCTTGTATTAGCTTAAGCGAAGCCCCAAAATAAGCGAGGGACGGGGAACCGATAAGGAAAGAGCGAGCAAATCAGTGGACAAGCTTACCGAGGAAGCGGGGCAACGGGGTGCCTACTCGGCTCCCATTATTCGGGGATAATACTCGTAGGCCGTCCATAATGGATGTATCGATGAGCACTGGTGGTGATTCTTGTAAGGGTCTCTCTGTTGCCAACGCTGCGTGGGCAGGCAGGTGTTGTTGCTGCGTGCCTTGGGCGGCTTGGGCCAACCGGGATGTTGGAAGACGCCACGAAAAGCACGTTATCGGTTGGGGGGTTTTTCCGGAGGGAACGAGCGGGCAACTGTGATACTGTAGCTTTTCGGGATGGTGACCCGGAGGCCAAGTACGGCACGGTCGAGCAGGGCAACCAAGCAAAGCAGAGGGCAGAAGCGGAAAGGAGAGGGAGCTGGATGGACAGGATAGGTACAGGTAGACAAAATAAAGAGGAGCATCGGTATCATCCACGTACCGCAGAAAGGGGATTCTGCCGGGGTGCGTTTGTTCTTCCCCAGCAGTTAGAATTTGGTTAACCTCCTGTCAACACTGCCGTCGTATGAGATGATCAGACGACGGCACATGATTTCCGAGCCATTCGCTCGCTCAGCCGGGGGTCATCTCCTCCATCCTCTCCATCTTCTCCCCTTTTTTCCACCGTTTCTCCCCCTTTCCGTTTTTTCTTCTCCGTGCATGTCTCGCTTGCCCCGCCCGGGAACGACCCCGGAGGAACGCACTTTGTAGCTGAAGGACAAGCCACACGTAAATTGGAACCGCAAACGAGTGACGTACTGTGTTTTTTATAGGTTGCCCGGGACCTTTCGCAGACGGGGTTAGACCTTGGTGGCCAAATGGAGTTGAATCAAAGTTTGGCGTAGGAAAGATCAGGGATCGGGGGGATCGGTTGGCTCAGGTGCTGAGACGGAGCCGGTACCGGTACTTGGCAGTTGATTGGGTTAATCGGTGCGGTGCTGGTACTGATACAAGTACCGGTACATGAGTTAGGCAGGTTACACGAGACGAGTGAGACTTGGGTGGGAGTCACGGGAGAAGCAGGAACCTGCAACTGCCCGAGTACGAGCACAGTGCGCCGGTACCGTACCGTAGCTTGGCTTACCGGTACTCGTAATGTCGAAGCGTTTTTAGAAAAGACTGCTCTTGCATACCCCCAAAAATTGGCCATTCTGCTTGGATCTTGGTGGTATGCAGTAGCAGTCCTTTTTAAAAACGCTTCGACACTACGAGTACTCGAGTACCGGTACATGTTGGGCCCCGCCCGGATCAACATCTAGCCAAGCCTGCAGCGTCCGTGTTGCTAGGTCCCGCGTTTAGTCGTTCCGGCAAAATGTTACTCGAGTGCCGTGCAGCAACTTTGCCTTGATTAGCATGCAATTCCACTGGCTATTACCCGGGGGATCTCGCTGCCTGCATGCGTCCCGCTGCGAGCTAGTTTACCAGATACCCGTACCGGCATCGGACTGACAATGCATGAAGCAGTCATCTTGCATCTACCTAGGGGGCTATGCTACAAGGAGCGAGAGCCTCAAACAGTACTAGAGTGAGAGTAGAGGGAATCACGTGACATAACATTTCCTGTTGGCATGGTTGATATTATGTGGAAACCCCAGACAAACCTCCCCTCTTGGCAATGTCTTGGGCTTGTCATCTAGAACTCCTGCCCTTGGACTTTTTAGAATGGTTTCTGCAACATGTATCGCACTTGTACTCGTACCATCAGGAACATCTGCTGCTCTTCCGAATCCCCTCTTGTGTTGAGCGTCAGCCGAGACCTTCAGGTTTCGTTTCCTTTTTTTTTGCGCGCTTTTATTTTTTCGCTGCCATGATGCCCAATCGGTCAATTGTGGGATCAATTTGGATAATTTCCTACCTTGTTGAGGCACCGATGGTCGGTGGAGGGAGAGAAGGGGTGGATGTTCCACTAGATCCTGAGGATAGCAAACATCCCCGAGTTATAGACCGCAATAAGCACCCTCGAATCGCAGCCTCGTAATATACGTGGGCGGAAGAGAGACGCCTAAGGACTCTACTCCGTACAATAATAGCTGTAAATTTAAACGGTCAGAGCCGACAAATTCTAGTCCCTCCGCCTGACATTACCCGGCTATTACCGAAAGAACCCGAAAACAATAAGCCATGTAGAATTCAGCTCTCAGTTTCCACTGTACGTGCGATAAATTATCGGCGGGCCGCCGGTATCGCAATTCACTACCTTTTTTATGGTGCGAAGAGATGAGAGGGGTGAGCTCATCACCATGCTTGGGGCATATCTTCATCCGCTAACCACAATTTGCATCAACAACTTTCTAAATCCTGTTGTTCCTTATAAGTAGTAGCGGTTTTTGATATTTTCGCTTAGTGGCTTGCTCATGATTGTGAACATGGATGGCGAACAAACGCTCCTCGTCTTCGCGCAATAACTGTGACGTGGCGGTAATGTTTGTGCGGTACGCCTTTTAAGCTCCCAACACACACTGTACTGTACATTACCACCCCACACTACCAAAAGAGCCAGCTGCCCTCACCGAATACTGAGTATCGTATACAGTGGCGCAATCCCGATTACGCTCCCTCCGAGTCTTGTGGCCGGGGTATGGTACAAGTAATGTCATATCACATCGGACCGGATCGGAGGGGTATGAGTACGATACCGTGCTATTGTGGGGGGGCGGGGGGGGGGGTGAGTGGATATCATAAATTAATACTTGTATCATACCCACGAAAATATTTACCTTGTTCTGGTATGATACCGGTATTTCAAGATGTCGGAAAGTTAGCGGGCCCGTGAATCCATTAATAAGGAAGCCCTCCAAACCTACATTATGGATATGTACAGTACCTGTAGTTTTATGTTAGCCCACGCCGGAACCGGTATCTTACTGTACTCGTGCGACTCCGCGTGCTGTACCATACACGTACAGGAAATCACAAACATACACGCCTCCGAAAACTAAAGAAAAAATCCACCTCCCCAATCAGCACTTGAAAAGGGCTCCCTCCACCCAGGTACCGCCTATGCTGCTAACCCAGACATCAAAATCCTGAGCCTCAATAGATATGCACAAAACCGGCGGCCTGAACATATTCGGGGGGGGGTCGTTGCTATCATCTAAGGGAGCAGGCTGAACCCCAGGCCTCCAGCAAGCCACAGCCAACGAGAACCGGCTGGTTCGGGGCTAGGGTACTGCACCGGCGCGGACCCGATAAGGCAGGATAGACTGGGGTGCGTTTATTCACGCGTAACTTACGGACTATTCCGCGAAAAAATAAGGTTGCGAAAAAAAGTTGCCTGCTTGTTAAAGCGCGCACTGGTCGCCGCGGTATACAGTTAATTGCGCAGTGCTGTAGAGTTCATGAGGGGAAGAAAGTATCATATCGTAAGTGGTAGTTGGGGTTGGATGGTCTGAGAGGCACGGCGGGAATAAAGCACACCTGAGCGTGATAACCTATCGTCGCAGAAATGATGACATTATCCATGAGCGAGTGCGCAAAGCTCAGGCCAGCAGTGTAAGAACGAATCATATAATCCGGCCGGCGGAGGCACAGCATCATATGTAAGGCCCTCCGAGCAAGGTGCAAGTAATACGAGTGATCATGTATGACTATCGGAAGGTTAGAACCGGCTGGTGGGAGTTTCACTCAGGATCTTAGAGCTATGATACTCGAAAACACTACCTCACCAGCCGAGACTCTTTGGACAACCCCAGTGCCAAAGCGCAGCTGGTATATCGATGGCTAGTACGGCACATAACGCCAACCCGTAAATTCCAAGTTATCGTACTTCGACTTCGCTTGCACGCACGGAAATTAATCTCGGGGAGATTGATACTGCTCCGGTCCTGCGAACCGCAATTGTTTTTAGTGTACAGTACCCCAAAGCCCACCCACTCAATACCTCCGACTTTGACGAAAGTGCTGAACAAGTAATTGCCCATGATGGCTTAGAAAGTGATGCTGGCGGCCCGACATGATTTATATAGATAGGAAAAGGCTAGGCGAGGTATCCTAGTGTTCATTTTGGTGTCTTCCTTCCTTCCTTCCTTTTTTTCCCTTTTGAAGAGTTCAGGCTCACGCTGAGGATGTTAGGCCGACACCGGATATTACAAGAAGCGTGGATTTCCATTTGCTTGGTTGGCTAGTGGGTGGTTTTATACGGCCTTCCTCTCTCTTTTATTCTGACTTGTTTCTCGCTCCCTGTTGTGTTTTGCCACTTGTTTTTTTTCCCTCCGATCTGCTTCGCCGCGTGAAAACTGGGTAGATTGGTGGGGTGGATGAGAAGCTAGTATCAATATCGTACAAGGTGCGTTGCTTTGTGATCCGTAATTGTTGTGTGGATTTCCTCATCTTGAACTGACAAGCTAGATCACAAAGAATCACTCTCGTCTGGGATTTGACCTGCCGGGTACGTTACTCTGCTCTGGACGCTCTGCGCTCGCATGGTGCATCTAGTATACGCGATACACTCATAAACCTTGTCAAACTTGCAGCTCTGCTGCCACCGATCCATCTTCCTACTTTCTCCTGGCGACCTTCTTTCCCCCGTTCACAACTACTACCTTCCCATCACCGCAGCAATGAACGGAGTAGAAACCTCACCACCCCCTGGCAATTTCGGGCTCAACTACTTCACCGGGGCAATCTCGGAATTTATAAAAATCCCACGGCTGGGAAATCTCATCCTCACGGGAGATTCGTCGTCACTCGCATGCGGCGCTCGCCAAGAGTACTCAGCTTGTCCACCCCAGGACTCTTCCCGGGCCTCTATAGTAGGCTTCATCAACAGGGTTTCTAAAATATGGGACTCCTCGCGGGAGATGGACTCTGCCGTGCCCATACCGCAAAAGCTGCATTGTTGCATAGTCGGGCTACTGGTGTCGGGTTTGCTATTCCTATACGTAAGGCTTGTGCTTGGTGCTTGGAGGCGTAGGAAGATGCGTGGGAAGAAGATAGACAGGGTGGAGAATAGGGAGGAGAGCGATGTGGGTGTGGGCAGAGGAAAGAGAAGTGCGCCGGCGGGGAGGGAAGATTACAGTGATTGCCGGTGGGAGAGTGATGAAGAGAGTGGGTGTGGGGATATGCCGAATGATTTTTTGGAGAATAGTGCAGAAGACGTTGCCAAAGTGGCTTCGGGGAGCTGTTCGGGCGAGAATGTGGGTGTGAGAATTGATGGCGCCATAGAGGCGGAGGAGGGAGAGGGGTCGGTGTTGGTGGAGGTATGTGAAGAAGAAAGGAGAGGGAAAGAGGAACTTGAGGAAGGGATGGCAGAGGAAGAAGATAGGAAACAAGGTGGTAATGGGGGGGGAGGACCCGGTGGGGGGAAGTTGCAAGAAACCGAGGCTGTAGAGGAGGATGAGAGAGCATATGAGGAGGCGGGATATGAGAGGGGATGTGAGAATAAGGAGAAAAGTAAGAATGAGAAAGGGGATGGGGGTGAGGAGAATGGGGAGGACAAGGAGAAATATGGAAACAAGCAGGAAGATAAGGATAAGGGTGATGAGTATGAGAAGAAAGAGGGCAGGGAAGAGGGTGGGGGTAGAGAGGAAGGCGGGAGTGGTGAGGAAGCTGGGGATAAGGAATATGGGAATGGAGAGAAAGGTGGGCCCGAGGAGGGTGAGGCCAAAAGGGGTAATGAGACGCCTGGGGTGGGGGGTAGCCAGGGGGAACCTGGGGATAATGTTATCAAAAGGAGAGA